AAACCGACCCCGTCAAAATAGCCCCGTCAAAAGGGCCCCGACTTATTGGCTCCCGTCAAATGGGCTCCCGTCATATTGACTTGCGACATATAGGCTCCCGACAAATGGGCTCCCGATATTTAGGCTCCGGACAAATGGACTCCCGACATATTAACCCCTGACAAATAGGCTCAGGACATATTGGCTCCCGACAAAGCGGCTCCCAACATATTGGCTCCCGACATAAGGGCCCAAGACAAAGGGGCTCCCGGCAAATGGGCTCACGACATTTTGGCTACCAACAAATGGGCTCCCGACATATTGGCTCCCGGCAATTTGGCTCCCGACATATTGGCTTTTGACAAAATGACTCCCGACATATTGGCTCCAGAAAAATGAATGATATGACCACTATTGGCATAAAAGTAACCATTGTGTCCTACCTCCAATACCACCATAACCTCTTTTTAATGCCCGAATGAAATTATATTTTTTCATGAACCAACATTAATTCACAAACAAATCGAGCCCTTAACAGCTGAATTCCACCAATTCTAAAGTTTTGATAATGTTTAATTTACAACAGAAAAGATCTGTTGCTTAAAAGCGAGCACAGAAGTGTAAATGTATGATATACATGATGTTAACATGATAACAGCATTTTGTTTTGATAACCTACAAGCACAGTGGCGTAGCGAGGTCGGGTGTCACCCGGTGCGGCACTTAATGGTGTCACCCCCCCCCCCCCCCCCCCAGAGGCGTTGCGACCCTTCCCGGGGACAAACTTTCAAGTTTTCGATTTGCACCCCCCCCCCCCAAACTTTCGATTTGCAACCCCACCCCCTCAACTTTTTCTCTATATATTTTGCTATTTTTTGCCTTGGTGTCACCCCCCTAAATGGTGTCACCCGGTGCGGTCCGCACCCCCCGCCTCGCCTTCGCTACGCCTCTGCGTTAGGCTACAGAGGAGTTAAACGAAGAGATCAACTTCTACTTACGATGGATATTTTTTAATATATAAATATTCTGAAGGCAACATTTTGTATTTTATATGTCCTGATTTTGTATTTATACTATATTATTATGCTTGCCTACTACTGCTAAAAAGTTTATTTATAGGCTGATTCTCTCAATGTCTTGCACGACAAAGTGATATAGCCTGTAGTGTTATTATAACGATTGGGCTCTGTTTGACCCACAAACACTGAATCCCACTGCCGAAACGGTGGGGGGGGGGGGGGCTTTTTGGAACTTTTAACCTTTTTCTTTTTTTAAAATTATTTATATGTAACAAATATTAAAATTCCATTGTAAAAGTTTTAATTGTTTATGAGGGAAAAGGGCCCCTATGTGCCTTGGGCCCCCATGCCTTGCTTACGCTAGCTTTACGGTAGCTACGCCACTGTGTCAGTGGTCCTTTTGTCTGGAGCCAAATTGACAGGAGCCTTTTTGTCGGGAGCCAAAATGACGCTAGCCTATTTGTCGGGAGTCGTAATGACGGGGGCCGTTTTGTGGAGAAACTAAATGGCGGGAGCCTATTTGTCGGGAGTCGTAATGACGGGAGCCGTTTTGTGGAAAAAACTAAATGACGGGAGACTATATGTCGGGAGCCAAAATGACGGGAGCCTATTTGTCAGGAGCCTTATTGACTGGAGCCCTTTTGTCGGGAGCCTATATAACGGGAGCCTATTTGTCGGTAGCCTAAATGACGGGAGCCTATTTGTCGGGAGCCTATATGACGGGGTCCATATGTCGCTGGCCCTTTTGACGGGGCCGATTTGACGGGGTCGTTTTGACGGGGTCGTTTTGTCGGGGTCGTTTTGACGGGGCCGTTTTTGTCATTGGCCGAATTGACGCCGCACGGTTGGATAGACATGCCTACTAATTAGGTCCAAATTTTAATTAATTCATAAAAAATTAATTAGGCATCCAATTAAGTCAAATTTAATGTCACTATGCATTGTCTTCATGTCTTGACCCACGTGCCAACTGTGAATCGTATCGGTCAAGTAGAAATGTGCGAATTTTCACTCTTGCGTTTCGATCTAGACTGACGACAGACTGACGACAGAGGAAGTGAGTTAAATAAAAGCTTGTAAAAAAATCATAAAAAACGTTTTAATAACAAGCTTTTATGTAATAAAGCACTAAAAAGTAGAAAATAAATTATAGACTACTATTTAAATAACTATAAAGAAAAGCGTGGGTCACTTTAGTATCTATTGGATACCTTTACTAATGTTAAGGAAGACACCCACGCTTTTCTTTATAGTTATTTAAATAGTAGTCTATAATTTATTTTCTACTTTTTAGTGCATTATTACATAAAAGCTTGTTATTGAAACGTTTTTTATGAAAAAATTTTTCAGTACTTTACATGTTTTATTTACAATAGAGTTACATGACTAAAAACCATTGCGCGCCTACTGAACGTGATGGCGCAGCTATTGAACGTACCGTGATGGCGCAGCTATTAAACGTGATGACGCGTGTGGTGTGGTTAGCTAGACATGCCTACTAATTCGGTCCAAATTTTAATTAATTCATAAAAAATTAATTAGGCATCCAATTAAGACAAATTCAATTTCAGATTGCATTGTCTTCATGTCTTGACCTACGTGTCAAATGTGAATCGTATCGGTCAAATAGAAGTTTCCGAATTTTCACTCCTGCGTTTCGATCTAGACTGACGACAGAGCGACGACAGAGGAAGTGAGTTAAATAAAAGTTTGTAAAAAAGAAGAAAAACAAATGCCTGAAACATTCAAATCTCTTTAGTGTTTTATGGTGGAGTAGAAAGCGCTATTTTCTCCTCAGTAAATTATTGTAGAGATAATGCCCATTTGGCCACACCACACCACAGAAAGTACACACCACACAAAGTACACACCACACAAAGTACACACCACACAAATTACACACCATATAAACTACACACCACACAAAGTACACACCACACAAAGTACACACCACACAAAGTACACACCACACAAAGTACACACCACACAAAGTACACCCCACATAAACTACACACCACACAAAGTACACACCACACAAAGTACACACCACATAAACTACACACCACACAAAGTACACCCCACATAAACTACACACCACACAAAGTACATACCACACAAAGTACACACCACATAAACTACACACCACATAAACTACACACCACACAAAGTACACACCACACAAATTACACACCATATAAACTACACACCACACAAAGTACACACCACACAAAGTACACACCACATAAACTACACACCACACAAAGTACACACCACACAAAGTACACACCACATAAACTACACACCACACAAAGTACACACCACATAAACTACACACCACATAAACTACACACCACACAAAGTACACACCACACAAAGTATACACCACATAAACTACACACCACACATAGTACACACCACACAAAGTACACACCTCATAAACCACACACCACACAAAGTACACACCTCATAAACTACACACCACAAAAGTACACACCAAACTATGTACTCTTCACACACTACACACTTAAACTACATACCTCCACAATATACAACACACACACCACATCGAAATTGCAAAAGCTAGACCTGATTTACTATTTTAAAAATTCCGATAAACTACTAAAATGGATCATAAAAGATGTAAAAATTCTATTTTGAACTGCATACAAGCTTCTGTGTCTTACACAACTGCCATTTTCACTATATGTGTGTGTGAAGATGTGTGTGTTATGTATTTATGCATTCACTTATTTATATACACGCACATTCATAAAGTACAACAGTGGAGAAACTCAGTAGACAAATATCAATACTGGTAATTTATTTATTTGTTTCAGATCTGTTACAGATAATAACAATAGGGGATGTGTTTTCATTCTTTAAAGTTATGTTTACATGTGTTATGTTGGTGTCTACATCTTACATGTGTTATGTTGGTGTCTAAATCTTACATGTGTTATGTTGGTGTCTACATCTTACATTTGTTATGTTGGTGTCTAAATCTTACATGTGTTATGTTGGTGTCTACATCTTACATTTGTTATGTTGGTGTCTACATCAGTTTGTTTACATGTGTTATGTTGGTGTCTACATCTTACATTTGTTATGTTGGTGTCTACATCTTACATGTGTTATGTTGGTGTCTACATCTTACATGTGTTATGTTGGTGTCTACATCTTACATTTGTTATGTTGGTGTCTACATCTTACATGTGTTATGTTGGTGTCTACATCTTACATTTGTTATGTTGGTGTCTACATCAGTTTGTTTACATGTGTTATGTTGGTGTCTACATCTTACATTTGTTATGTTGGTGTCTAAATCTTACATGTGTTATGTTGGTGTCTACATCTTACATGTGTTATGTTGGTGTCTACATCTTACATTTGTTATGTTGGTGTCTACATCAGTTTGTTTACATGTGTTATGTTGGTGTCTACATCTTACATTTGTTATGTTGGTGTCTAAATCTTACATGTGTTTTGTTGGTGTCTACATCTTACATGTGTTATGTTGGTATCTACATCTTACATGTGTTTTGTTGGTGTCTACATCAGTATGTTTACATATGTTTATGTCTATGTGTGTAACAGTCATGTGTGCAAGTGAATTTTGTGTGTGTGTAACTAGTGTGTGTTAGTGTGTCTGCTTGTGAGGGTTCATGTGTGTACTTTAGTTTCGTAGCGTGTGTGTGCTTCGTTTATATATATATGTATATATATATATATATATATATATATATATATATATATATATATATATATATATATATATATATATATATATATATATATATATATATATATATATATGCATGTGTGTATGTGTTTGTGTTGGGTATTGTACAGTAGTGTGTGGATAAGACTGTATGTAAGTGTAAGTATAAGTATGTGTATGTGTGTGTATGTATATGTGCTTATAATGCGTGTTTTATGTTCTAGTGTATGTTTATATCCTGTATTGATGTGTCAGTGAATATCTGTAAGTAACGTCATCATCATTACAATATAATAAAAATATAAATGTCATAATAAATGATAAAAAGTTGAATGTAATTAGAACAACAAAGTTTCTAAAAAATGAGCAATCTGTCAACTGTCAACTCTCAATCACCTTTATAACAGATCAACTTATGAACTTCTTTCAATCACCTTTACAACAGATCAACTTCTAAACTTTCATTCCCCTTTTCAACAGATCAACTTCTAAACTTTCATTCCCCTTTTCTACAGATAAACTTCTAAACTTTCATTCCTCTTTTCTACAGATAAACTTCTAAACTTTCATTCCCCTTTTCAACAGATCAACTTCTAAACTTTCATTCCCCTTTTCAACAGATCAACTTCTAAACTTTCATTCCCCTTTTCAACAGATCAACTTCTGAACTTCTTTCAATCACCTTTACAACAGATCAACTTCTAAACTTTCAATAACCTTTACAACAGATCAACTTCTGAACTTCTTTCAATCACCTTTACAACAGATCAACTTCTAAACTCTCAATCACCTTTACAACAGATCAACTTCTAAACTCTCAATCACCTTTACAACAGATCAACTTCTAAACTCTCAATCACCTTTACAACAGATCAACTTCTAAACTCTCAATCACCTTTACAACAGATCAACTTCTAAACTTTCAATCACCTTTTCAACAGATCAACTTCTAAACTTTCAATCACCTTTTCAACAGATCAACTTCTAAAACTCTCAATCACCTTTACAACAGATCAACTTCTAAGCTTTCAATCACCTTTTCAACAGATCAACTTCTAAACTTTCAATCACCTTTTCAACAGATCAACTTCTAAAACTCTCAATCACCTTTACAACAGATCAACTTCTGAACTCTCAATCCCCTTTACAACAGATCAACTTCTAAAACTCTCAATCCCCTTTACAACAGATCAACTTCTGAACTTCCCTCCTAAACTGAACGTTCATAATCCCGTACACGAACGGATTAGCCATGGAATTAATATAAAAACTCCGCATAAACAAATTATACGCCACAAATGTTGCACCGCGCGGGTTTTGATCCATGTCAGGAAAAAAAATCAGTTTTAAAATAATGAGCGACAAATGTGGTAAATAGCTCAGGATGAAAACGGTGGTAACGGAGAAAGCCACCATGGTGGTTTTATACCTGCCCTTACGCTGTCGTCTGCGGGAAGACGAACTTCTCTGGATGGACAACGTCATTTTTTTGTTGACGTCACGTACGGGATTTTCCGATGTGACGTCATTAGTGGTTTCTTTTGCGTTGGATTTGAGCGTAGCTGAGCTTTCTGTGTCGTCGGATGATGTTGAGGATTTATTTGATTCATTGATTGTTTTAAATGTGTTTGAGTCATTGATTTTTTTTAATGAACTCGAGTCGTCGATTGTTTTAAAAGTATAAGCAGCGCTGCTATGTAATACTCCGTTATCGATTTTAACTGCAGTCGATAAATCAACTGTTTTCGAATCTTCTTGCCCGCCGTTTAAAAATCTAGTGTGGGGGGTGGTTCCGTTTTGAAATATCGATGTCTCAAGCTCTCCTACAAATGGCTTAGAATTTTGTGAATCTCCGGCTTTTAATTCTGTCAACACGACTTCGGTTTTGTGATCAGATGACGTCATAGACTCATCCGGCGAGGCGATAATATTAGAGTTATCCCCCTTGGCGCTATTATTAGATCTATGACCGGAAGTCATCTCGAACGTCACGGTGTTGGCGCTGGTGTATCTGACAGCCAAGCAGTTGGCGCTGATCTCCGATGAAGGTAGGTTCGGATCCTCATCAGACGCAAACGAGGTGTATTTCTCCGAGTCCTGTCGTCTGCCGTCGGTCGAATACGTGTTGGGCGTCTGCAGGTTCTTCACCGTCTGCAGAATCCTGGCGTACAGCACGATCAAGGTCACGGAAATGACGACAAAGCAAATCAACAACAGCCCGTTGAACAGGTGCCTGTACAGCCCGCTCACCCCATCAGGAGTGGAACAGTCCCTGCTCATCACACCTGGCACCATCGCAGACTCAATCGTCCTCATCCCGTACACAAACAACGACGGTGACGACAACACTAACGATACCACGACAACAACGATAAGCAAGTATCGAATACTCCCCACATGTAATTGAGGTTTTAAAGGCCTGCACACTTTCCGATACCTGTCTACTGCTATGAGAAGTAGTATCAGTATCGATACTATATTAATAAACGCTGTTATAAATTTCATACACCGACAGAACCAGTCGGTATCGAATACGTAATAAACGTAAAAACGTATATCAACGATCTCGTATGGTATCGCTAGCACACAGCTATTGAGGTCAACAAAAGCGAGACACGTAATCAAAAAATTATGGCCGCCTCTTCTGAACCTCTTAGCGTACACAAAACACACCAGGCTGTTTCCGAGAATGCCAACTACACACAACACACCCAGCACGATCATGACCGGAAGTAGCGTCATGGCAACAGCGTCATTCGCAGCGTGCAGACGTAGTTGAGACGCGGTGAGTGAAGCGTTGTCTAGACTGGCGTTGACGTCATGCGACCACGTGGGGGTCGTTGGGTCCAAAGATGTCATTGTCGCGCCTGCTATTTCATAAACAGAAAGTTAGAATAGGACCAGTTCCTTTTCACGTGCAGGGTGACACACAAATAGACAACAGGGCCGGTCACTCTTTTCATTGAAGACTTGGAGTTGATCATGATGTTGAAAACATTTGACGTAGTCGTTGATCATGATGTTGAAACATTTGAAGTAGCCGTTGATCATGATGTTGAAAACATTTGAAGTAGCCGTTGATCATGATGTTGAAAACATTTGACGTAGCCGTTGATCATGATGTTGAAAACATTTGATGTAGCCGTTGATCATGATGTTGAAAACATTTGATGTAGCGCATCTTTGCCCTCGACCAAGGTTGTTTCTTTATCTGCAAGAAAAAAAAGTTTACAAGAAATCATAGACTACAGTAAAGTTCCCCTTTAGACTTAGTGATCCATATGGTAGATGAAGTCGAATTCATGTTTCTTTACTTCGGCAAAGGAAGCGATACTGTTGTCATCCGCCTTTATTTGCCACTACGCCAGTCAGGTACCCATCAGAGCTGGATGGACTCAGGGACGTCCTACCGTCACAAATCCGACCAAGATCCGAACTCGAGACTTTTGGGCAAGCAGTCAATTGCTCTTCCATTCAACCTCGCCGTCAAATATAAACAACAGTAACTGTATTTATTTATTTTTTTGTTTTCTTTAATACGTCATTCTCTGTTTAATATTAATTGTTATAAAAAAAATAATGTAGTATGATCGGTTTTTATTCGAAGTTATAAATCCAGTTTAAATAAAGATACTTCACTAATGCCACCTTCATAACGACTGTATTAGATGTCACCACTACCACCTTCATCACCACAAATGTCACCACTACAAATGTTACCACTTTCATCTTCACCACTACAAATGTCACCACTACAGATGTCACCACTACCATCTTCACCACAGATGTCAATACTACAGATGTCACCACTACAGATGTCACCACTACAGATGTCACCACTACAGATGTCACCACTACAGATGTCACCACTACAGATGTCACCACTACAGATGTCACCACTACAGATGTCACCACTACCATCTTCACCACAGATGTCAATACTACAGATGTCACCACTACAGATGTCACCACTACAGATGTCACCACTACAGATGTCACCACTACAGATGTCACCACTACAGATGTCACCACTACAGATGTCACCACTACAAATGTCACCACTACAGATGTCACCACTACAGATGTCACCACTACAGATGTCACCACTACAGATGTCACCACTACAGATGTCACCACTACAGATGTCACCACTACCTATGTCACAGCCACCATCACCAGCTGTCACCTGCTTTTACCTGCTTTTACCTTGCTTTCAATGCTCCGTCTCTAGAATATTCCACACCACCAAACGACCCATTTGTAGGGGACGGGGGGCGCTTTTTCGGTAACTCTTAGTGGTAACTCTAGCGTCACACGTCACCTGAGCATACATTAATCAATTAATTATTTTTCTAATTATATGTTGACATGTTTGAACTAAAACACCACGCAATATAGCAAGTTTGCACACATTAAAAATATATCATGATAAAAATATACGTAAAAGGAAAATAATGAAGTATATATATATATATATATATATATATATATATATATATATATATATATATATATATATATATATATATATATATATAGTTATATAGTTATATAGTTATATAGTTATATATGCTTCAGTATTAGAAATTCCCAAGTCTACACCATTAAACAAACTATCGTCTCTATAAAAGGTCAGGTGTAGTGAGATCACGTGACACTATTGCTATCAAACACCTTGCTCGGATAGCTCTAGTGCTAAGTCACACACCACTATAAGTCCAGCATTGAGAAACAAATCCTGTAACACTGTAACAGAACTTTAGTAACATTTTGTAACATTTTGTAACATTTATTAACATGTTCCAGATTGACCTCAGCAAGCTCTGTATAAAATCCTCGTCCATTTTCCCATGAAAATTTTCTGTGAACAATTCCTGGGAATCTCAAGTGCCGGAAGTTGTTCAACATGACGGAGTGCTGGTTTCAACAACTCACAAGATTATCCTGATTTTTTTTTTTAATATTTTTTAATTAATTTATAAATTAATTCTATTAACAGTCCATTAAATTAATTACATTACTGGAATTTTAAATATTTAAGTAACTGTACTAGTCTAGTCTTCACTTTATTAAACTAATAAAGATATTAAATCATATTATGGTTCAACTTCTTCATAATAAAAGCTTTTATTAAACTTGCTTCCTCGTGTTTTTGTCGTGTTTTTTTATTGTGTTTTTATTGTGTTTTGTTTTTGTCTTAAATAACAAAAAAGAAAAGCGTGGGTCACTATATTATCTACTCAACGCCTTTACTTCTTCTTCTTCTTCTTCTTCGTTCTTAATTATTAGTGTTGAAGGGGATCGAGGTTTATCTGCCAGTGGGTTTGAACTCGAGACTTTGTTCGAATTTTTCAACCATGAGCTTTTTGCCGACTCGACCACGCCTCCAACACAATTAAGCGTTACGTGTCAACTGGTTATGCGCCATTGAGGCCATTGACTCCGATTTCAGCCTGCTTTTCTTTTTTTGGATTTGCTTCCATAGCCTTTGTCCAACCAAGAACAAACTACAAGGCAGCAGTTGTTTAATTTTGGAGTTGTCTCCCCTAGAAGAGTGGCTGTCCCCAGCTAACGAGCCTCATCTGCCCGAGGGTTCGAACTCGAGACTTTTCGGTTTAGCAACCATGAGCTTTACAGACTCGACCACGCCGACCACGCCTTTACTAAATTTTAAGAAGCGATCCACGCTTTACTTTACAGTTATTTAAATAGTTGTATTATTTAAAGAACATGTTTTATTTTCTCCTTTTAGTGCATAATTATATAAAAGCTCGTTATAAAAAGTTATTTATTAATTTCTTTTAATGACTAGATTACTCAAGTTTTACTGGAAAACAATGTTATTCTACACATCAGATAAACGTTTTTACTCTTTCGTTTATACACTGCCCACACAAAGACCAATACACCACCCACACAAAACCAATACATCACCCACACAAAGACCAATACACCACCCACACAAAACCAATACATCACCCACACAAAGACCAATACACCACCCACACAAAACCAATACACCACCCACACAAAGACCAATACACCACCCACACAAAACCAATACACCACCCACACAAAACCAATACACCACCCACACAAAGACCAATACACCACCCACACAAAGACCAATACACCACCCACACAAAGACCAATACAACACCCACACAAAACCAATACACCACCCACACAAAACCAATACACCACCCACACAAAGACCAATACACCACCCACACAAAACCAATACATCACCCACACAAAGACCAATACACCACCCACACAAAGACCAATACACCACCCACACAAAACCAATACATCACCCACACAAAGACCAATACACCACCCACACAAAACCAATACAACACCCACACAAAACCAATACATCACCCACACAAAGACCAATACACCACCCACACAAAACCAATACACCACCCACACAAAGACCAATACACCACCCACACAAAACCAATACATCACCCACACAAAGACCAATACACCACCCACACAAAGACCAATACACCACCCACACAAAACCAATACATCACCCACACAAAGACCAATACACCACCCACACAAAACCAATACAACACCCACACAAAGACCAATACACCACCCACACAAAACCAATACATCACCCACACAAAGACCAATACACCACCCACACAAAACCAATACAACACCCACACAAAGACCAATACACCACCCACACAAAACCAATACAACACCCACACAAAGACCAATACACCACCCACATAAAACCAATACACCACCCACACAAGACCAATACACCACCCACACAAAACCAATACACCACCCACACAAAGACCAATACACCACCCACACAAAGACCAATACACCACCCACACACAAACCAATACACCACCCACACAAAGACCAATACACCACCCACACACAAACCAATACACCACCCACACAAAGACCAATACACCACCCACACAAAACCAATAAACCACCCACACAAACCAATACACCACCCACACAAAGACCAATACACCACCCACACAAAACCAATAAACCACCCACACAAACCAATACACCACCCACACAAAGACCAATACACCACCCACACAAAGACCAATACACCACCCACACAAACCAATACACCACCCACACAAAGACCAATACACCACCCACACAAAACCAATACACCACGAACACAAAGACCAATACACCACCCACACAAAACCAATACATCACCCACACAAAGGCCAATACACCACCCACACAAAGACCAATACACCACGAACACAAAGACCAATACACCACCCACACACAAACCAATACACCACCCACACAAAAACCAATACATCACCCACACAAAGACCAATACACTGCCCACACTTATAATAAAATCTTAAATTCATTCTTAACTGCCTTCACCTTCTAGCACAGAAAAAGAACTTTTGTTTTCTAATTATCATCTACTGACTCAGCTTATCTATTGACTCAGCGTCACGCTACAAGCACGGACTCACTCATAAGAGTGACGCCAACATTTCTCACGAGCGTGAGTTTGACCCACTGACCCTTGACCTACTGACCTTTGACCCGTATTGAAACAATAAAACATTCATTGTTTTAGGTTCATTTGCATTCCGCACTTGCTTTCTAATTAAGGCAAGTAATTAACTCAAACAAGTTGATCCATTGTATCATCTTCACGTAAACACACACGCGCACGCGTGGACATACACACACACACACACATACACACACATACACAAACACACACTCGCACACACAAAGTGTCACAACAACAATGACCTTTATCGTACTAATAGAAAGGCTGGGTGTGTATAAATCTGTATGAACCTCTTTAAACCTGTATGATCCAATTTGAACCTCTTAACTTTCATGATCCTATTTGCGATTATATTGATCTGAATTGGGGTTGTGCGAAACTGCTTTAACCGACCAAAAAACATGTATAAACCTGCTTTAACCTACATAAACAAATTTGAACCTGCTTTAACCTACATAAACATGTATGAAACTGCTTTAACCTACAAAACGTGTATAAACCTGCTTTAATCGACATAAACATGTATAAACTTGCTTTAATTGTGTAGGAACATGTATGAGTCTTTATAAACCAACATAAGAATATTTGAAATTTCAAGAAGCTCTATAAACCTGTTTAAACCTGTTTAAACCTGT